AAAATTGAATAGCATCACTTCCTGTGCAGCGGTAGGCTTTCTCACCAGAAAGGTGAAGCGCACACCTGTTGTTTGAACACACTTATGGGAAAGCTCTGGTGAAACTTCTTTAATCACCGCCATATGACATCATGGAAAGTTACTTTTTCTTTCCAGCTGCAGTGCTGAATAATCAGTTTGCAGAAGAGTTGAGTTGTGACTGGAAGCTGATTAAAGCCAGCCTCTGTGGGTAAAAGAGCAGCACCCCCCCTCCTCCATATGACCGGGGAGCATGGTGGAGCTGGAAACAACCGCAAGTGCATTGAGGCAGCAGTCCCTGAGTCTGACTGAAGACTGAGGGTCTCAAGTAGACCATGTCCACCATCGTAGTTTAGCGTGTCAGCACACTGATCGGTATTAGCACATTTGCACTAGGTGGGGGACATGCCGTTAGTTTTGCAGATATTAGGTCATAGAGTATTTTGTAATAATAATAATGATCAATCATTTTGATCTGATGATAGCGCCAGAGGAAAAATGAAGGGGTCGGCAAAGTTATTACACTTGAGAGGAACATGGATGTTTGCACCAAATGTCATAGCAATACATCCAGTAGTTGTTGAGACAGTTCACGCAAAACTACAAACGTCAAAATAGGCGCCTGCGAATATTGTTTGGGGCTTTTATTGTGAAAGGTGAGAATGGAAGATGTGGATGTGCTGCCTGTAATGAAGTCTGCCGCCTTGGTTCGGACAGAGCCTTCATGTTTCATAAATACACTGTAGGCACAACTCAACCCGTTGTGCAGAAGCTCAGAAAAATCAACCTTGCTTCTAAAGACAGAAGCATGTTGCTTTATCGCTGCATTTGAGCGGTGTACAGTTTAAGAGTTATTCAAGACATATCCTTCACATTTGATTGGACTGCTATAAAGTGGGCGAGCTTAGCATGTAGCATGATAAGGAGCTACAGAGGACTGTGACTCCACACACACCTCTTCCGTCACTAAATGTTGCAGATTGATTGGTGGATGTCATGTCACATTGGTTGAAATCAGTCGGTTGTAGCTCATGTTAGCGCACGTCATATTTTGTTTTAAGAAGAAAAGATGATTGATTTTTAATATAAAACTACAAGGAAATCCACTTTAAGTAATTTATGTAGCACATATTATTGCATTAAGTACACAATATGACCGGGGATGTGATCTAAAAGACATGTTGAGTTTAAGGTGCTCGAGAACTATTGTTCAGGCTGAGAGGAGAGCCGAGTGGGAGGAGAACAGGTAAGGCTCACTTCACTGTCACCTGCAACCGGTCAACAGCAACAGATGTTAAATGCTGGTTTAGTCGTCACACTGTTCCTCACAGAGTCTGACGGCCTTAGTAAATGCACTGTGCTGCTGGAGCTGAAGAAGTGTGGAAGACATCTCACTGTGACAGTTCCCCTTAGTGAGAACGTCATGCTTCACAGAACAGGGGTTGTACATGCAGAGCTTGTGTTCGTCCACATCTTACGCTGCGTTTTCATTTGTGTGTTCCCATGATTCCTGAGGTCTCCACAGAGCTCTCTGCTCAGACCGCTGCACCGTGCTCCCCTCCTGTGTATAAAATAGCTGCTGACCCATGACCTTCACACTCACTCGCCTGTCTTTCACACAATCCCTCCCCCATCCCTCCCCCTCTGCTCTACAGATGCCACTTTACAGATGGAAATCACACAGAAGGCTCGGTAATAGTAAATAGTTTAAAGGTCAAACTTCCATTTGTCCTCCTCACTCAGAGGCCGTCTGCAGAGAGGATTTATCTGATAACTCTGGCAAAATAAAACGTACATCAGGTCTAACATAAGGAAAAAGAAGAATGCATTACCAATAATAAAAACACAGAAAGAACGTGAAAGAAAACATATATATGTATCTTTCAGGACCTTCCATCATTACCAGAATGGCATTACTTCAGGCACAGCTGAGTTCGGACGGCTCAGTGGTGTGGATGGGTTTGATCAAAACAAATTACTTTAATCTCAGAAATTCTGAGTGTTTTCTCTGAATTTTACCCCTCCCCCATGGTTTATTATTAGTGCTGGGCAAGTTAACATGTTAATTTCGCGTTAACGCATTCATTAATTAACGCCGACAATTATTTTATCGCGCATTAACGCATTTTTTTAATTTATTATAATTTTTTTTTTTTTTTTTAATTGAAAGACAAGAGACAATACATATACATAACAACAAGAGGATGACAAGAACAGTGGGATAAAAGCCAGCAAACATCCTATAGTCAGTAATTTTAGTGCACCTATATGCTGAAATTCACGGTAAACGCATTTAAACGGCACAGATCGGGAGCGAGCGAAGGACTTTGAAAGTTAGCGGAAAGATTTACGTGAGACAACATCCGGTTTCTTCAGACGAACATCCGGTTTCAGAATAAGATGCCAACAAAGTATGAATTATATTCACATTAAGTATAAAACATGCTACCTGCATCTCGTGAACCAAATGTTATTGCCCTTTTGTTCATATAGCAGTACTTTTAAAATAAAAGTGCGCAATACACTACTTTTGAATTCATTATTGAACTTTGCCATAACAATGCGATTAATTGCGATTAATCGATTATTTTAATCGTTGCCCAGCACTATTTATCATCTTTATACCTATAATGGCCTCCATACACCTTAATAGGCCGTATAACAGGGATTTGATTGTTTCAAATGTTAGGGTCACCTGACACAAGACACATGAATCTCATTTGGCTCAGTATTTTGAATTGTTCTTCCCTGTCTTCTGCCTGTTAATCCGTCACCTTCATGAGGAATTCATTATCACGTTCACTTCTGTTTAGTGCCTTCTGCTCAACACGCCAAGTATTTGATTTAAAGGAAATTAGGATTTTACCGCTAAACAGGTGTGAAACCCCAAAGTAGAACAAACACAACAGACACTCCCAACAGGAATGGATGAGAATGTGACACGAGTCACTCTCTGAAATCTCTCCACTCACAGTCAGTGCAGTGTAACGAAAACGTGACTCATAAGAACACCAACAAGCACAACACCTTCAGGTGGGAGTATGTATGTGTTTACATATCTAGCGGGGTTTTGCGTGTTTGAACTTGCATTTCTCACCGCATGTCTGTGGAGAGCTAATAACTGTTTGGAGGACTGCAGGATATGGGAAAACATCCTGGATGAGATTCATTTTGGATGTTAATATGATAATATGAGGTGCAAATTAATGTGCAATTTCAGGGTCGCCAATTTTGTACGCTGCAACTGAAGTCCTTGAACATGTTAATGAAATCATTTGAAAGTGTATCACCTAATAATAATAATACTAACGTTCAGTCAATCCAGTATGCTATTATTTGCGTTGTGTTCTGATCTGCCCTCTGCGATGGGGAACTGAAGCCGATACATCGCTCTCTTCAAAGACACAAGACTCCATTGACAAAAGCAGTGTGAAACTAACGTGGCGTCCACAGCAGGACATCGCTTAGCCTCCGAGCTGTTTCTCCTGTCTGCATGACGACTGCTATCTAAGTTACTGTAGGTAATACACTGACGTGGGAAAAAAACATTTTGACTCTAAAGCATACAGGCTTCGATCAAAACGTGAATGTTCTGATTTGAATACTTTAGGAACACCACCGGGAAGCTATAGAGTGATATAAAAACCTCTGAATGTAACGGACCCGTCCTACCTCTTAAGCACGACACCACCGATATCGGGGGCACTCTGGCTCAGCACCCCTGAAAATATTGTACGAAAAATAGCCTTATTCTTCGGTAATATTGTGGATTTGTCCAGTTTTTTTTCCGGATTAAAAAGTAACGTATGGGCAACACTATCATATAAATCACTTTTTACACACTCCAAACACAACTATAGACTACTAATATAAGCATCTAGAAAATGTGGCATAAAAACATGAAATCCTGGCCAGAAATCGCCGTTATGTGTACGGCAAATCAATATCTGCTCCCTGATGCTAGCGGCTACCAAGCGTTGCAATGCATTTTATAGCATTAGCACTCGTGGCCGAACACATAAATAACTTCGGTTTTTCTCTCCGTGGAAGCAGTAGACAGCTGTGAGTGGACAAAGGTACCATTGTACTGCCCTCCGCCGAAAAAAAATCGTGGGTTTTCGGACCCGTTTTATGAAAAATGAGTACAATAACGTCGCAGATTATCTGTTTCAAAGCTGGAATCATTGTTGCCAACTGCATCCTGTTTACTTCCGAGCTCTTTCCAGAATAAGAGCGGTCAATCCAGCTTGGGCGAGCGGTCAGACTTCCGGCGAGCGGAAATTTACGGTCGGGGAGACGCGGCACTTCTTGCAACGTTACTCGCTGAAACGTCTGTCAATCAACACCAAATTCGACACACGCCTTCCGACTCTGACGCGTCGAAGGAGGGCTTATTGACTGAAATCGACCGATGATAGGCTGAGCTACAGCCCCATACACACACATGAGCTGAGAAAACCCTATAGATGACAGCCAGAAACAGGCTCTGATGATGTTAGGAATCTCAAAATGATTCCTAACAGCTGTATTTGGATGTATTGAATAATATGAGTGATAAAAAAATGAAATATATAGTTATATAGTATATAAAAGTACAATGTAAGAGCTGCAACAGCTGGTTCGAAAATGATGACCTCGCTTGACCTCTCTCTACTAAAGCCTCTTATTCTTCACTTTATCCCACTTTAACCTTTATTCAGCAACTACTGATCGGTTGTGCTATGATTTGGGAGAGTTTTTAGGGAGATATCTGCATTATTTCAAAAACATGTTATCAATAAAAGTGCTTTTTTTCAGGCGAACCTGATTATTTTCAATTTGAGCTGTGTAATGTCTTCATTTACTATATTAACCAGCAACATATACACAATATTACCCATCTGAACAATCTCACAAGTGTTGTGATCTGATTATAGCATCAAAAATTATTAAAATAGACCTTGGAGTTACAGAACTATGGTCACTTTAGTATGGGTATGCCATTTTCGAGCAGAGGCCTACAAATAGGGCCCGAGCTTAAGAGGTTAATGAAGCTGCTGGTGTTGTGTGTGTACTTCGACAGTCAGCGGTCCTGTGGTGGGTCTGTTTGATTTACTCACCCTGATGCTATGAGCGCTCTGGACTGAGCCATCGCAATCCTCTGTAACGCTGGTCTGCTCAGCCCGGCTAAGCTTGATCTCTGTGGCAGAGGGGCATGGCACACTGTCGCTGCAGATGACAGCGTGCGCTGCGGCTTCATCACCATTGGCGACGGAGATGGCACAGGAGAGGGGGGCGTGGTCACGCTGTTGGCAGGGGAGACCAATGTGGCGGTTGGCACTGATTCGTTGGCTGAAGATGAGGAGTGCTTGGCGGGAATGGACGGAGGGATCAGGTTCGGTTTGGATGACGGAGGCTGAGGAGGCGGGAGGGAGGGCGGAGGCGGCCTATTGGAAGACAAGGAGATACCCAGAGAGGAGGTGCCCACGGTGAGGGCGGCCAGCGACTGAGCGAAGAGCTGGGCGTTCCTTCTCGGAGAGGCGGTGTTTCTGGAGATGGCGAGCCCGTGCGGCAGCGTCTGATAGTAGTTGGAGTTTGAGTTTGAGTTCTGCTGCTGTCCTCGCCCCAGAGTGGCGGACTTAGACGGGCTCAGAGGTTTAGAGGAGACCAGCGCTGAGTTCTTGGGCCGCTGCATGGTTAGTGAGCGTCTACCTAGAGTCTGTATCCCTGCTCCTCCTGTATTGTTCTTCACACTGAAGACCAGCATGCACTGCTGGCAGGAACAAGGCTGGCCCAGTCCAGTAGTTGGTCCATTGGGGGAGACAGAGCTTCCAATCCCCATGCTGGCCCCTGACACCCCAACACCAAGCAGGGCTCCTGTTAGGCCTCCTCCTTTGGGTATTGGGAGGGGGCCGGACACTAGAGGGTAGGACATGTCAGCACGTCTCTGGAGCCTCCGACACCTCTGGCTCTGTCTGTTCACCTGCAGGACACAACGAAACAGTCCTTTTACAACATTTCTGATTACTAGTTCAAGGGTACAGGGGTACTTTTCCACCTGGACCCTATTTAGTTTTGTCTAACTATTACAATTACAGGCAATTTCTGAATGGGTCCAGTACTGATCCAGAGGGGTGCAATGTAATCCTGATTCCGAAGTGTCTGACAACATTATGAAAAGAGTCTCGCTCAAGGAGACGTCTCTTTCTGAAATCTTGCGATGTGCCGGGCAGAGTTTGTTAGAGAGAAAGACACATACACACAGAGAGAGAGAGAGAGAGAGAGAGACAGAGAGAGAGACAGACAGACAGACAGATAGACAGAGAGACAGAGACAGAGAGACAGAGAGACTGGTGGTGTTCCTGAGGCTGCTGTGACCCTCCGACCACAGAGACCTGATGCTGTCCCATCTTCACAGACGGGATCAAGCGAGAGGTAAAGAGAAGAAGAGGTTGTATTTCTCTGTCGGGTCCTCTCCAGAATCTTGTCAGACTTCTATAATAAATATCTGAGCCTGTCAGCAGCAGGCTGGCACATGCACAGGATGCACTTTTAGTAGACCTAACGTCACATTGGTGCTGTGCAATGCCCTCGCAGCTCATTTAGCAGCTGCCAGCTGCAGCAAATTCGCTAAATACTGGAGAAAATTATAAAAACGTTGTTCCAGTCATGAGAAAACAGGGTCCAGGTTGATTACTAGCAAAGTCACCCTTTAGCCCTTATCATGAGCTCATCACAGTACGGGGGAGCTGCCACTTGAAACTAAATATCACTCATTTATTTAAAGAAGAAAAGGTATGGAAGGAGTGTTAAGTTGATTTTGTTATTGATGTCCATGTAAAGAATTCAAACCCACCTGTGTCATGTTGTGAAAATCAATGAGGTAGCAGAAGCCGAGGGGTGTCAGGTCGAGGCAGGGCTGCTGCCGACTGTGGGCGTTCTCGATGGCAATGGCCACCTCCATGTCGTAGGCCGTCCACGTACCCCCATCGTTTTCCCACTCCCACTGCCAGCCCTGACCTGGGGCCGAGACTGGGTCATAGAAACTCCTCCGCACCGGACGGATGGTACCTGAAATAAGCAAAATGTGTGATAGTTATTACTTTGTCCCAATGAGCTTCTTCAATAGTCCACCAAGAGCCTCTCCACCAGATATCAGACACGAGGTTTTAAAAGCAGAGTAAGGTAGGTGGGAGTGGAATAAAAGTACAATACAAACAGATTGGTAAGATCTTCACAAATGAAACATGACAAACATAACAATTACAATTTCATAATATCAAACAAAAAAAAAAAGAAATCTATCATTTAGGAATGCCAGTAAGACCAAGAGACATAGAGCGAGGACAAAATGATACACTTATTAATAATATCATGTAAACTAGGCTTAGGACAGCGGTTAGGAGCTCCATCCTGAGTACACCAGGAGCTCTGCACACACAGATAAATAACCTGCACACACAGCATCTAAAATCACAAAGCCCTTGATCTTCTTCAACTACTCACAGTGTCCCCCTTTCAGAAAGCTTTGAGTTAGATTGAGGTAGAGATTTAGAAACACAGTAACTATGATCATGTGATCTCTGGATTATCTCTGGATCTCTGATCAGATGGGTCGATGTTATGATGAGCGAGACGCTCTGTGGCTCCTGTAGCTCGGGGGATGAATTACAGGAAACAAAGCCGTCTCTGGAGTCTTCATTTTAAAAGTGTTGTAGGTAATGTCAGGTTCTAATGTAAAAACAAAAGTAACGGACAGAAGAAAACCTTCTGTCTGCGTTCTCTCCGTCTTGTGGGTCATGTGGAATTCTAAGTGGTAAATGTTAGGAAAAGTAACTGATACATATTTAAAGAAACGTTGAAGGGTGTGCTGTTGTGTTGCCTTATACAGCTATATGTTTCTAAATAGGAGATTAGTTTGGTTGGACTGTTCCTGACCCTGAACAGGATAAGCGGTTTGGATAATGAATGAATGAATGAATGTTCAGTAACTTGAAAAATAGTCTTAGAAACCATCCAAGAGAGAAGTGGGAGGAGGGTCCCTAAACCAACCAATCAGAAACTACCTCAGTCTCCAGGGGTAACAGGCTATTCAGTCCATGCCAGGACAAGGAGACGAAGACATATATGTGTGTGTGTGTGTGTGTGTGTGAGAAACTAATACAAAGAGGTTATATTGGCAGAGTGGCATCAGCACAAAGACATCAAAAGGATGGGGCTGAATGGAGGGAGGCTGCATTTGTTTGGTGAGGACAGAAAGACAGAGGGACAGAGAGACAGAAAGACACGGAGACAGAGGGACAGAGAGACAGAAAGACAGAGACAGAAAGACAGAGAGGCAGAGAGACAGAGGGACAAAGAGACAGAGGGACAGAGGGACCGAGAGACAGAGAGAGAGAAAGACAGAGGGACAGACAGAAAGACAGAGGGAGAGAGAGACAGAGAGACAGATGGTGAATAACTGTATAGTTTATGTGTATAGTTCCCTCACAAGAAGATACCAATGTATCTATTTAGAGGACAGAGGACATGTTACACAGGAGACAAACATGATATGAAGGGGTGAGACAAAGACAAAGTGAGTGTTTGTGAAAGAGTGAGACCCCCGTCCTCCTCTCTCGCTCTCTGATGATTACCACGTCAAATCTCAACCTGCAGAGCCAACGTCCATTCACAGCCAGACAGGGGGCTACTAGCTGGTCCAGTTTGTGCTGCTCCCATAATTAGTTGGTTGTTTAGTCAGTAATTCTACAAGAAACAGGCCTACTAATTAAATGGACATATCATGCTCATTGTCAGGCTCACACTTGTATAGAAATACAG